AGTGTGTCCCATTTTGGTTGAAATCATAGGGTATCTCCGTTATTAGTGAAGATAGAAGGGTGCGGTTTGCACAAACCTGTCTCACTTTTTCGTCAAACGGAAGATGCTGCAAACAAAATTGTCATAGCCCTCTTCATTTCTGAGCTACAGGGTCTTTTCAAAAATTTTGCAATTTGGGACACCCCCTGTATCTCTGTTATTGTTAAAGGTATCGAGAAGGCGAAAACTGCTTATTGTAGAACTTTTTACGTAGAATACAGTGGCGTAGTCTGTTTTTCTACCAAACAAATATTTTTGAAAATATGAACTAAAGTTATGTTTTTTCAAATGGAACACCCTATATATTTATAAATCATATGATCTGTCTTGCTACGCGCTTCTCAAAAATATATATCACTCTATATTTATTTTCACTATTTATTGCAATATTTAAAATATATCATTTTCTTATTAGTAGGCCGTGATAAATAACAAAATATCAAAATGGTATTTACTAAAATAGTCATACACATATTAAAATTTATTTGGGATTGATATATTTTACTTTTGAAATAACTGTTACCACTGAAACTGTGAATATATTTTTCTTCTTTTTATAACGGGATGGGTTTGCAAATATCTAAATCTTGAATTATTAAAGCATTTTTGAGGTGTTCGACATTGTTGTAGTGCCCACTATATATTTCGTATTTCAAAAATCCCCAAAGTCAGAAATCGAGAACGGCGAAATCCGGGAATCGAGGAGGCTATCAATATGCGTTCATTGGTTCCAATTCATTGATTTGAAAAATAATAATTTAACAGTATTCTAATGTTCCCCATCTTGCTGAAAGTATATTTCACGTAAATTAGCTAAAGGAATATCTAAAATTTCCGATACGATAGATAATTCTTACGTATACACGTATTCCAAGATTTACTAATAGCGGTAGAGAGTTAAGTTTCCTTAATATATAAAGAATTTATTAGCGGCTCCCAAAATAAAACAAGAGACAGATAGCAGTATACTTTTAATAATTCTTTAGTTTTTTTTTATTATCAATCATGGCCTACTAATAAATATGATCTTTTTAATAAAAACTTTTAAATATTGCAGTAAATAGTGAAAATAAATATAGAGTGATATATATTTTTGAGAAGCTTATGGCAAGACAGATCATATGATTTACAGGGTGTTCTATTTAAAAAACATAACTTTAGTTCATATTTTCAAAAATATTTTTTTTTGGTAGAAAAACGACTACGCCACTGTATTCTACGTAAAAAGTTCTACAATAGACAGTTTTCACCTTCTCGATAGCTTTAACAATAACAGAGATACAGGAGGTGTCCCAAATTGCAAAATTTTCAAAAAGACCTTGTAGCTCGGAAACGAAGAGGGCTATGAAAATTTTGTTTACGGCATCTTCCGTTTGACAAAAAAGTGAGATAGGTTTGTGCAAACCGCACCCTTCTATCTTCACTAATAACGAAGATACCGTATGATTTCAAGCAAAATGTACCTGTAACTATGTAAACCCTGCACAGCCTCTCAAATAGTGCCGTTCTGATTCGGCGATAAACTGTAGGTCCCGTGTACTTGTGAAACACTTATGACACACATCACAAGTACATGCGAGAGGTAGCCGACGCTCTGTATAGAGTATGGCACTGTAAGAAGAAGAATGTTTAACTACGCAACCGCTGATCACCAGCGATTAAAATACTGATATAGAAGATCAAGCAGAAGATAGCGCGGCTAGTTATAGTTATAGCCGTAGCCAGCTATAGTTACAGTAGTCACAATTATAGCTACTTAGTTGCCATCATCGTCATCGGAAAAATATCAGTATCTTGGCTGTTGGCTGCATGCGGACTGGAACCCTGAGCGAGAAATTAGAACAAGAATAGAAAAAGCGCGCGCAGCATTTCTTAAGTTCAAAAACGTACTGAACTGCAGAGACATCCAACTGCAGCTGCGTTTACGATATGCAAAGTGCTACGTATGGTCCGTTCTGCTCTATGGGGTGGAAGCGTGGACCATGAAAACTAATACTATAAATAAATTAGAAGCCTTTGAGATGTGAACATACAGGCGTCGCTTGAAAATATCGTGGACCGATAGGATAACTAATGAAGAAGTACTCAATATGATGCAGAAGGAGAGAGAACTATTAAATATAATTAAAAACACGGAATACCTCCTACTTAGGACACATAGTTCGAAATGAAAAATACAACATTCTGCAGCTCATACTTGAAGGAAAAATAGAAGGCAAGAGGGGAATAGGTAGAAAACAGCTGTCATGGGCCAGAAACATCAGACAGTGGACTGGTCTGAAGACCATAGGAGAGCTCATAAACACCGCAAGAGATAGAGACAGGTTTCAACATGTGGTCGCTAACATCCAGTGAATGGATAGGCATCTGAAGAAGCAGAAGTTGTCATCGTGATGGGTATTAAATATTACAGTTGAGGGTTGGAACCTTTGGTGTTAAACAGCAAAATAAAAACACTAAATCACCACAATACACCAAAACACTTTTACTTTTACACTGGACGCGCGTTTCAATCTAAATGTTCTTTAAATCTAGTTAATATTGATCTTCAAACTAGAAGATCAATATTAACTAGATTTAAAGAACATTTAGCTCAGATAAGATATGGTAGACCGGATAAATCTTGCGTTGCCGAACATATTGTTGATAAAGAACATTGTATAGATCTTAATAATTTAAAATTAATTAAACAAGTCTCAAATTACAGGCAATTAGATGCATATGAAAGCATCAGAATTAATAAATGTAAAGATAGTATGAACAGAGACAACGGTCCAATTCCTTCAAGTTCTTTGTTCCTACTACTCTAGTGGCGGAAATCTAACTGTTACGCTCAGTTGGCTCTGACTCGGTTGGCTAGTTTTTGCCACGCCCACTCGGTGCCCACTGGGCGAGTATATAAACGCTCAACTTGTAGATTGTACTTTAGTTTATAATCATCTGCTGATGATGCTAACATGGTTAGCGAAACGCGCATCCAGTGTAAAAGTAAAAGTGTTTTGGTGTATTGTGGTGATTTAGTGTTTTTATTTTGCGGGTATTAAATACATATATATTTATGTAAGTACTTTCTGTAAAGGAAAAGCTTTGGAATTTTCTCATTTCCATTAATTGTTATAGATTTAATATTATCTAATTCACAATCGAATAAGTATACAGACCGGACCACCGTAGTAGTAGCATAGGCAGAACCGGACGAATTAGCGTATACCCGTCCGCCGGATAATAAGCAGGCGAAAAAATGCGATAAAATAAAAATAGGTATATATGTGACAAGAATGTTTCAGAATTTGTATTTATTAGTGTTTTAATAATATAGATTCTAGCGACAGCTCTCGTGTAAAATTTATTTTTTAAGTAAAATAATGGATGTTTACAAAGTTTGTGATAAAATTGAAATTGTAAAATGGTGTTTCCAAAATAGGTCTTATCGGGATATACGAACAATTTTTCCACAAATTTTTGTAAACAGGCCAATTCCATCTTTACCTACTCAAGAGTTATTAATAATTTTGAAACACATGGGTGCGTGTCCCCACAAAAAGCCTGATGTGTTGATTAATGAAGAACAGGAGTTAAAGCAAGTGTTCATTTGTGCTACCGCGGATCAAAATCCCACGTTTTCAAGTAATCAAATTGAGGTAACAGATTCTTCACCTAGCAGGCCAAACTCAAGAAATCTTCCACGAAGACCAATTTCGGCGTATGGTGTTTTGTGAATCTGTAATGGAAAAGGCCAATTTAGATGAAAACTTTATACGGTGTATAATTTTTACCGACGAATCAAGTTTTCCTTTATTGAGTCGTCATAACCCTACACAAGTACGATATTGGTCTCGGGAAAATTTGCACAGATATTTTGAGGTACGCACGCAATACCCTCAAAAGCTAAATGTTTGGGGTGGTTTCGTAGGGAAGCATATGATTGGTCCATTTTTTATAGACGGTAATTTAACTGTTACAAAGTATATAGACTTGTTACAGCAGCACATTGTCCCTAGGATTCGTGAGTTATTGGGAGAAAGATTTCACAATGTTTGGTTTCAACAAGATGGTTGCCCTGCTCACAATGCCCGTATTGTTCAAGATTTTAGTTTTTTTATATTTTATTGATGTAGTTTTTAATTTTAGAAATGAGTTTTGGGTTTAGAGAATTTATTTATTTTAAGTTTTGGCTTGTAAACACGCTGAAATAATACTATTTTTATTTTAAATGTTACCTTAAGTGAAGCTAAACACTTAAAATGAAAATAATAATTACTCGGCACTCCTCGCGTCGTATTCCTAGTCAAGAGTAACGACCGACCCGTCCAAGCACAACTGTAACTGCGTACTGCTTGACCAGCCGACTAGATACGAGGCGCTTCCGCGCTTCCCCCGGCAGTGAATCTCGAGTACGAATAAACGCAAATTCGTCCGGCAACCTGCTATGTTACTAGTAGCCTGGTCTTCTCTGTATGTGAAGTATATTATGTTGTTTTGAGAAGAATTTTAATTGAGACTTTCTGCGGGTGCAACTGGTTAGTATTTTGAATTGTTCATGGGAAGTAACTGGGATCAGTTACTTGTTGACCTGTATATGTTTTTTAAATAGCATTATTCACTATTTTTGAACTAGATCTAACAATTTATTCATATTTCTATTATTCCTAAAAATATAAAAGGACCGAAAGAGTAGAAAAAACGTACAAAAAATAGCAGAAAACCATCTTTTTTTAAGTTTATTTGTTGGGTTACACGTTTTATTTCCCTTTCTGTTTTTTTAAAACACCCCTCTCTACTGCAATTATATCGTCTCACTCCTGACAAATACCTTTAAACTTACGATTTAAAACAAAGATCACACAACAACGCTTTCCTATCTTAACGTCGCTGTCGCCTTATTGCATCGGGAAAACTGTAGCGTCTGAACCGACAAACCGATTTATCCGTGGGGAAATTCGGAATGGAACGTCACTTACGTCATGATACCAGTAATAACTGTGCGGCTGGGGCCGGGCCTGGGCTTTGCAGCGCAGGATAACGTCAGTTCCTTGGCGGACGGGCGTCGCGGCGACATCCGAATCCAGCACGACGGATACCCTGGGAGGATCTGAAACAGAGAAATTTATCCCGATGAAATTTAAGTTTTAGAAATAAATTTATTAAAAAACAACACTATACTGGGTGCGTCTCAAAAGTGGCTCACCCCTATAACATTTTTATTTTTTCAGATAAAAAAACGAGATTTGGTATGTTAGTATATGACATAAATTAGGATTGATTGACGTATTAAGTTGTTTTTGGTCATTTCCTGTTTTACCGGAAATGACTAAAACTTTTGGTTTGTAAATGGCACCCTATATATATTTTTACTTTATTCGATAGAAAACGACACTCTGAATAGAATGACATATGATATGTCAACTTTTGACATTTTCGCATATGGTTTATTTGAAATGATCACCTGCGGTTCATAACGACAATTTGACTCGAAATACCAAGTGTGTGGTATCAAATTATTCGTAAACAATGCTTTTTCCAAATATGCTAATGATCCACCTTCGTTCCATTTGAAACATTTTCAAACATCATCAAAAAAAGCATTTTCTAACTGGCCAGGACAAGACACTAAAAATTAATAATTAATAAAATTATTATTAATTACTATTAAATTAATAATTAATAAAATTAATGATTAATATTAATTATTAAACCTTAATGCAATCCAATTAACACAAAGACTTTCCAGCACTGTCTATAAACGCATCCTTTCCTTCTTCGGTCACGTCAACAGCAGCGGGCATATGGAGAGACTTGTAGTGCAGGGAAAAATTGCAGGATCCCGTCGCCGAGGAAGATCGCCAACCAGGTAGGTGGACATGGTTGAAAAACTTATGAATACCAACCTGGAGGGTGCCGTTCGAAGAACAGAAAACAGAAAATTGGAGACGGGCGCTGCGTGCGGCCGTCAGGTCCTTTGATCCAGAACCAGAGCCACTACACGTCGTACGAACTTAGACGAGGGATACAATGGAGACTCTTAAGCAGGTTAGAAGAGTTGGATTATGCAGACAATCTATGTGTCTTTTCCCATTCACATACGGATATGTGTCAAAAAGTTCTTAGACTCCAAGAGGATTTAAAGCTAATAACGTCGGTCTTCAATTCAACGTGGCAAAAACCAAAGAAATGAGGTCAAATAGTCTCAAAAATCAAGATCTGTACCTCTCCTACCAAGCCATCAAAAGAGTTGATGAATTTCAGTATCTGGGAAGTATGGTTTGCATGGATGGGGGCACGGAAAAAGATATAGAGGAAAGAATCTTGAAGGTACAAAGAGCTTTTGGTATGTTGACGTAACTCCTCCATATATACATAACAGCAATGTAAAATCTATTTTGCTTTGTGGATGCGAAACATGGAAGGTTACTCGTGGTCTCATGGATCGCCTGCAGGTTCACAAATGTCTTCAAAAGATTGAGAATTTTCTGGCCCAATCAAATTAACAACGAATTACTGTGGAGAAGAACATCACAAAATCAAGTAGATATCGAAATTAGGAAAAGAAAATGGGGATGGATTGGGTACATTTTGCGCAGACCACACAAAGATATTGCAAGACAGGCACTTGAATGGAATCCACAGGGAAGACGCGCCAGGGGAAGACCAAAAAACACCTGGGAAGGAACAGTAATCTCTGAACTGAAGCCCAAGAGATTGGGAAGACATGGGGAGAGATCAATCAGGCAGCCGAGATTAGGATTAGATGGAAACATTTTTTTGTCCCCCTAAACAGCCCTATGTCCCACAAAGGGATGTAATGTAGGTCCAAGCGATCAGTTACCTGCATGACGTCGACCTAGATATATTTTTATATAACATTATATTATTTAAACAATTAAAATATATCAATCGGGTCGACGACATCAGATGCAGGTATCGCCATGTGAGTGGAATTAAACTGTATAATTGAAACTGACCACGATGAAAGGACTAGTATAAAAGAGTATGCTGGAGAGAGCGCAGTTAACTAACTTTAACTTTAACTAAGATTTACTAAGAGGTATTATTTATTATTAACAATAATAAAATTATATAAGGATTCTTGCCACTTAACTGCTAATATAGAAATTTAATTCTACGCTGTGTTTGTAATAATGTAGATCAACCTGCTCTCACTACCGGTTTCGGAGCCCTACTCCATCATCGGGTGAGCTTGGGCAGATCCACAAAATGACAACCACAGCGCAGAGATAGTTAATTCCGACTTGTCGGAAAGTATCGGTTAGATACTAAGTCCCGAACGGGAGATAGCGGCCTGCGTGCAATGGTAGTACCACCGAGGCGCAACTATCGATAGTAAAAAGATGGTAAAAGGCTTTTTTTCAGGCAAGCTAAATTATAAAATAGAAAACAAATTTCTTGCAGTAGAGGTATATAATAAAATTATATAAGGATTCTTGCCACTTAACTGCTAATATAGAAATTTAATTCTACGCTGTGTTTGTCATAATGTGGATCAACCTGCTCTCACTACCGGTTTCGGAGCCCTACTCCATCATCAGGTGAGCTTGGGCAGATCCACAAAGTGACAACCACAACGCAGAGATAGTTAATTCCGACTTGTTGGAAAGTATCAGTTAGTTATTAAGTCCCGAACGGGAGATAGCGGCCTGCCTTCAATGATAGTACTTTCGATAGTTGCGCCTCGGTGGTTTCCAATCATTATATCTCCATAGATTTTTATACAAAACAAAAATGTTGATTTTTAAAATGTTATTTTACTAATAGAATAAGAATAACAAGTGAACTGAAATTAAGTTAAATGTATAGATATTATTTAGAAAATAAAAGCGTATTATTTTTATAACATTTTATACTCCAATTGAACCCACTTTCCTTTGACACTATTTATTTTATCTTCCCTTTAGTTTTTTTTTCACTAATACATTGTAATATTACACGGCAGAATTCAATTAACAAGACCTTAAATATTAATAAAAAAATATGTACCACATATTTTTTCCACTTGCGTGGAGAGGGTTCGTTAAATATTCAGCACATAATTCGAAATTTATTGGATGTGGGAAAATGCACACGTCGCCGCCTTTGTGCGCCCTCTAAAGGGGAATTACGTCGCTAATATTACAGTTTTAATAGAGGAGAAAGAGGAAAGGCGCGGGCCTTTGTGCTTTTATAAATTTCCAGAAAACGGTTTGCCGTTTCTTCCGACTGAAAGGGCGAATTGGAATTCATTATGTGGCGGTCGTTGTGTGTCCTCGTCGACGACGATGGGAAGAGAAGACGTGAAAATGTGGAAAAGAGCGAGCGATGAGATAATAATTAAAGCGGAAAATGAGAAAGATTTTCACTTAATAACGGAAAGTTCCGAAAGTTGCGGAAATATAATGGGTAATCTAATTTATTAAGAAAATATTTGACGTGATATATGGAATTTTTTGCCTTTATTCCTACAAGAGGAATGTAGTGGTCAGGTTAAGGTGGTGTGTGTAGTTTGTCTATCTTGTCCTTGATGTACCAGCCTGTGTAGTTGTTTGTGTGAGCATTGATAGCTAGTGTATCCATCGGGAAAGCAAGCGGCTTATAATGAATGTTTCCATACAATCAGCATCCTTCCTCATAATGTGATCACAATATTTATTTGTACGTGATTATTTAGAAGTTGGATGAAAATTGGTGTCAGGAAGTTTTTTGACATGAGAAATTTGATTTTAATGATAATATGACTCCTATTTGTAGGGGGCGCCACCTACCTATTTTTAACTGGTTTGAAGACTAATAACTTTTCGTCCGTATCTGTATAAAACTACTGAGTCGAAAAATATACATTTACGACATTTTTTACGTAAAAAAGGTCTCTTGGTAAAAATCGCTAGGAATAATGGTTCTCGAGATATTTAGAATCCAAATTATCAATACCTGTCGTGATTAACATAAATTAAACATGTTGACTAAATAGTTGTTAGACTGAAATCATACATTTGAAATGTTTTATGCTGAAAGTTCAACAGAAACTGTTGTAACATCATTTTTTCTAAGAAAAATTTATTAATAATTTAAAACATAAAAAGTTCCCAAATTTGTAATTTCAGTCAAATAACTATCTACTCAACACGTTTATTTTTTATTAACAATGATATGTATTGACTATTTACATTCTAAATATTTTGAAAACGGTTACTCATAGCAATTTTTATGAAGAGACATTTTTTACGTGAAAAATCACGGAAGTGTGTAAAAAATTTTATAAATTGTATTTTTTCACTCAGTACTCTTCAAAACAGTTAAAACACATGTAGGTGGCGCCCTCTACAAGTAGTATAGTCATATTGCCATCAAAATCAAAATTCTCATGTCATAGACCTCCCAGATTTTCGACAAGTTTCATCGAAATATTGACGTTACTTCAGAAATTATTTGGAAAAAATCAAAATAAAAATGAAACTTCTAAACCCTGTATCTCAGAAACTAAGCTTTTTAGGACATACATTTATAGGAACTTTTTTGCTTATTTTTATCTGCAGAATATGCTGCCGAGGTTTCCAGAATACAGTTCGGATCACCCTGTATATTGTCTTTAATATAGAAATTTTTAAGGATGTTACGAATATTAATAGTATTAATATTAGTCACAATAAATTCCAAATGAAATTCGTGATTCAGTGGCTTTTTAAAATTAAATATTTAATGGTAAAACATTTCTTTACAACCTTACAAGTAAAAATTAAAAAAAAATCCAAATTTTTCTCAAAAAATTTCAAATTTACAAAAAAAAAACCCTCATAGACGTATTTCTGTGATCGAAATATACTACCCCAAAAAAATATTTGCTCTTATTTAAGACTCACCCTGTATATAGTTTCAGCAAGAAACTAAAGTAATCATGAAACTAAAGTATTGAGCTATGTTTAATTTGAAAAATAGTTTCTAATTACCATAAAACACTGAAAGCGTTATTTCAAAAACTCTTTGTTTTACCTTATCTTAACTTCCCCTGGTAACTTCTTTCAAATGGCTTCTATTTGGAACGACTACAAAGGAAAAATGCAATAACACTAACCCATAGAAAGAGAACAAAAACGTGAATTT